TTTAGGATGATAATGATTTTCTGGGATTGTTCCTTCCTAGCTGTGGGAATGTTTAAATTACAGTGCTAAATGGAGATATTGCCTGCAGCTTTCACAGAGGTACCAGAAGAGGAACAGACCTTGTGGTCCTGGTTGTAAAATGAAGAACGCACCTGAAGGTTCAGCCCAGTGTTGAACTGCATATTAGCGCTGCTTTACAACACAAGCGTTGCTGTGCTTCTGCAGCACGTGCAACCTCCTTCTGTGAAGCATCTCCTATACCAAAATAGCTGAGAGAGAATCCCAGCTTTGTGGAGAAATGAGATAAATAAACCTAAAACATTTTCTTACCAAGACTCTACTCTACTTTGAAGCAGGTTCCTCAAATTCGCCTGGCTCATGCCTGGGCTAAATGCCTGAGGGCAGGTGACAGAACCCTTGTAGAGTGTTCACAAGGGTTCTGCTGTGCTCCCACTGAAGACAACTCATTTTAGCCATAACTGAATGTAATGTCTCACTTTTATTCCATCTCAGAAGTCATCCTACCCTCTCTTCCCAGATAATCTCTCTGCAACCAAGTGCTTTATTAAAGTAATATCTGCACTACCCTCAAGAAGCTGCCTTTGGATGGCTCTGCTTTAGGGGTAAACTTGCATTTTCTTTTCATCACAGACCTTTTCCAAAAGAAAGGAGAAATCTCTGTGCTAGAGCAGTACCACTCAGCTACCAATGCTAGTACTTCAGTTCCATGTCCTGAGAAAATTTCTCTGGATGACAATACTTTTATGTAGAATAAATTTCTATATTCTGTCTACATGCACTCTGCATGTACATGTATGTTTATTAATGACACAGAAAGTCATACACTTACACATTTTCCTGCATTAAAAGGCATGTTCCAAGGGAAAAAACCCAAAACTTTTAGATTAGCAGCTGTATTAGCATCTGCCAAAAATGTTACTCTTGGCTCCAATCAATTTAGGCATTATACACTTTATTAGTAACATATAATGGTAAAGAATGATGCCATCCACATATACACATACATACAGTATTGCAATCAGAGAATATTAATTAAGAACTTCTAATTTTCTCTTCAAATAAAGAATTGGACAATAACAAAACCAAAATATTACAGCAAAACTTATTTGTTATTTTATGAGTAGAACAAAGACATGAGCAGTAGATAATATGGGCCTTACACAGAAATACATTTCTCTTAGGAATTTTTTTGCTTGATTCATTCTAGATCCTGCATTAACATCATTTCTCCCTCTTCACAGACTTCAGACCGAATGGTGGGGCTGGGACAACCACATATTATTGTGTACAATGACAGCTTGTGCTCCATGAAACATTAATAGCCTGAAACACTTGAGAAAGAGGTACGTAAATGTATAGAATGACACAAACTGTAAAGGGCACACACCCCCACTCACACAGGAAAGCTAGTGAGTTCACAAAATGGAAAAAAATAAAGGTTACAGCTTAACCAAATTTCACTTGGTTGTAGATGCACAAGGTAGTCCAAATATTTCTCAAAAAAACATTTTTTCATTAGGCAACACAGGCTGGCAGCTCTAATTACACACTCCACAGATTGTCTCCGAAACAACAGACTGCCTTGAACAAAAGAGATGACCAAGAGGCTGAAGTTAGAAAAGTTCTATTAATCTGAATTTATTCCTATGTATTCTTGGTACTTCTTCCCTTGTTCTTTCTTCCTTTTAAAACACAGGCATTTAGCAACAGAAGGAGATGTTACTAAAGACAAGCACCAATCTACAAATACTTGTTCTGAGGGACTTGCCTACCAGCAATTCCAGACTACGCCCTACAGGTCTGGTATTTTCACACCCAGCCAACAGAAATGAGGGGTTTAAGGCCATGGTAGGAATCCTAAATAAAAATGTGTCAATGTTCTCCGAGTCTCTTCCACTGAAATTACTAAAAGTTTAATGTGGCTGGGAAGAAACACAAAGAACTAATTTTAAGGCTAATCTCTGAATTTTGTAGCTGAAAGTTATCAATTGCACAACCTGCTGAGCTCCTGGAAACCTGGGGGCAGTCCCCTTGTTTATGCTCCCCATGTGTGTGTTCTCCTGCATCCTCTACAGCTCTCCTGAAACACTTGAAAAACAAGGAAATTCAAAAGCAAGAGCTGATGCATGGGATTGGGATGCCTCTCCTCACTTGGTTTCTTATACCATCCTCTCCTAGTTGATGTGCAATTCCATTCATGATGCAATTACCTTTTGAAACAGTAAGGACTTTTAGCTCCCAACTCTACTCCTGCTGGGGGGCTGAGCCAGGACCTCAAGGCTAAGAGACAGAAACCCTATTTCCAATTCCAGATGCATGTGGAATTTCCAGGCTAAGAAGGTTGCATGGAGAACTCATAGCAACCTTCCAGTATCCGAAGAGGGACTACAAGGAAGTGGGAGTGACTCTTTGTCTGGAATTTTCGTGATAGCACAAGAAGGAATGGGTACAAACTAAAAGAGAGGAAATTTAATTTAGGTATCAGGAATAAATGTTTTACTGTGAGGATGGTAAGTCATTGGAACAGGTTGCCCAGGCAGGTTGTGGACACCCCAAGCCGGGCAGTGTTCAAGGCCAGGTTGGATAGAGCCTTGAGCAACCTGGTCTAGTGGGAAATGTCCCTGCCCATGGCAGGTGGGTTTGGACCAGATGATCTTTAAGGTCCCTTCCAACCTCTTAGCATTCTATGTTTGACTGAGTGGATGTTGTCTGCTAAAACCCAAAAATTGAAAGTAAAAGCCACAAAGCCTCAACTATTCCAAATTCATTTCTGCCATGAGCTAGAACCCAAATTTCTTGACAGATGGTAAGACTATTGCATAAAAAATACTGATTTTCTCTCTATCCTGCTGCTGAGCCTTTCATTTTAATACTTTATTATTGCCTGAAAATAGCTCACAGGTTCCAACTTTCAAGCTCCTTATAGAAGGGGAACATTAAATAAAGGATGTAATTGAGCCTTCATTATTAGGAATATTTTCTTTTCAGGGACCCAGCAGGGTTTCCAGCAAGCCAAAACCTTATTTCAACCTTTTCAGAAGGTAGCCAAGTAATTTGGCAGAAGACCAAAAACACAAGGAGCCAGAACTAGAGTATTTTTTCAATAATCAGCTGAACATAACTAAAGAAAGTGGAAACTAGTAGTGAAGAAAGCATTAAAAAATAAATTTTAAGAAAGAAAGAAAAATACTCAGTCTTTGATTTTGAACAGTGTGTACTGAACAGGTCAGCAAACATCCTGGATACTGCCAAACACTTTCTACTGGACATTTGAAAACAATTCCCCAAAACTACAAAAATATTATCTTGTTAAAAGATTTTGCAACACCAAAAGTCAAAGCAACCATGGGCCATGAACATAAATATTTTCTGTATCCATATCTTGCTGAAAAACATATATATATATATATATATTGGCACACGTTATTATCATTTTTCCAAAGGGAAAAGCCACCCACGTATGCCACAAGGCAGAAACTTCCACTTTTCTCACTCAGGCTGAAAACGTGCACATCCCTTGATGGGGCAGCTTCAAAGTAAAGGACTGACATAATGAAAGTATCTCCACTTTTACTCCTATACCCTTGCCTGCCATTTGAATAGCCAAGAGTTACTTTTCCTATATTCAACTATTTCAGCAGTGGACTCTTCTAGAGTTTACCTCTCCAGGAGCAGCAAGGCCTGGCCATTTTCTCCCTAGCACGGGATCTGGCAAAGAATCTTTTTGGCAAGGCAATTGTTCCAAGCGTGCTTAGTTTATTCTGATAGGTCTCCCCCTGTCTATTTACCATACAAAATGTTTAAATCAAGATCATCACATTTAGAGGCTAAGCTTAGAAAGATAGGTTTTCAGGGCTCTCTTTATACAAAAGGATTTTCTGAGTCTACAGTGAAATAAGGAAAAGAAAAGCTTTTAATGGTATTTATTGTACTTAGAGATTTTTGATATTTTTAGATATTTATCATACTAGAGACTATCTTGGAGTTTGTTGTTGTTTAACCCCAGCCATCCACCACGCCCCAGGCAGTCACTTGCTCACTCCCTTCCCCACCAATGGGATTGAGGATGGAGTCAGAAGGGTAAAAGCTCGAAAACTCATGGCTTGAGATAAAGAGAGCTTAATAGGGAAAGCAGAAGCCACACACAAGCAAAGGAAAACAAGGAATTAATTCACTGCTTGCCAAGGGCAGGCAGGTGCTCAGCAATCCCCATCAAGTGCAATGGCTACTTGGGAAGAAAACACCATCACTCCAAAGATCCCTCCTCCCTTCCTCCTTCTGCCCCGCACTGTATACACTGAACATGATGTCATGTGGTGTGGAATATCCCTTTGTTCAGTCGGGGTCACCTATCCTGGCTGTGTCTCCTCCCAGCCTCCCATGCACTCCCAACTTCCTCGCCTTTTCTGACGGATAAAAAGCAGAAAAGGCCTTGCCTCTGTGTAAGCCCTGCTCAGCAACAATAAAAACATCGCTGTACTATCAACCCTGTGCTCAGCACAAATCCAAAACACAGCCCCATGCCAGTCACTGTGAAGAAAATTAACTAGTCCAGCTGAAACCAGCACAGAGTTAAATAATTCCCCATCCCCAACTGTAACAATCTGTGGTAAACTTTGAGTAGGATTCCAGCTTCTGGATGGCACTGCACCTGTGGGAACTCAATGACACAGCATCACTAATGGCACTGAACTTGCAGGTTCAGTTTGCTGAGCTAAAAATTGTTTCCAAAAAGTCTACTCATCCAGGTCTGATTTTCCCAGCAATAGTATTACTGTAGTGCTATCAGTTCTGTGGGTGTGTAGATAGAGCACAAGGTAAAAGAAAATTTTCAAAAGCACTGCACTGAGAAACCTCCATCCCAAATACAGGTAAACGAGGTAACAAAAAGTTACTGTTAATGATGTCTGCTCATTTTGCAGCTAAGATGGTATAAAAGAAAATATTTGATCAGAGAAAGTAAAAATATCACTATTTTCTTTTCAGTCATCCTTACAGCTTTTATCAAACTGCAAAAGACATGACTTGAATTACACAAGCACAGGAATTTCACATGCGACAAGTGATACAATTCATATAAAGGACAGAACAGTATTTTCTGATACTCCACAAATATTCAGAGGTTTAACACACAAAATGGAATTTCTTCAGCAGCACTGATTAAACTCAAGATGAGGCAGGGATCTTCTTTACAAAGTAAAGGCACTGGCTCTTTGTAAACACGTACTCCTCTCTCTTTAACTGAGAGAGCACTCAAAATATTCCATGGAGGAAACTTGTGTGGTAGTTTTCCATTGCTTATAAATATTCACAATAGAGATATCAGAGGCCTTTGCCCTCCTTTTTACTGTATTTAATAAGAATTGTTTATTCTCCAATTTTTCTAGTGAGAAACTTATGAACTCTCCCCAGAAATGCTATAATGAAGCTATAGCAAGAACAGTGTTTTCTCTTATCTGCCTTCTGATACCTATAAAGAAATTTCAAGGCAAAAGAATTGTCAGATGCCAGTATGAAACACACTCGTCATCTCTTGTTTTCAGTATTGTGCTATCACTTTCCTAAAAGGAATCATTGGTTTATATTCAAATACAGATACATTTAAAATAAAAAATGAACTCGTGAACATCCTCCTGCTGTGCATCTCCTTACTCTTTGACTTTTCAACTGCACCAGCAAGACTGAACAAGAAGATTAGATATTTCTGATTATAACTGTACTTCAAGATTCCTGATTTTTTTTCAAGTATGCATCCTGGGTGCACATGTGTCCCTGCTGTGGAGAGTGTTCACACAGCTCTTCACTAATGAAACTGCAAAACTTGAAAATGTTAAAATAAATATTCCATACAAAGGTGAATTGTTTGCATCTTGGGCAAAATGAGCTGAGTATCTTCATAGCTTCCAACACACAACTACCAGCAATATCAACAAACACATATTTGTACTCGTGCACACAAATCCAGTGATTACACTAGCTCATATTGTTCCAGATCTAACCAAACTTGTGCGTTTTTAAGTCACCTTCCTTCGGCTTTACAAAGCTGACTGAATCTTTAATGTAGTGCTTTCAGGTTCTACAGGACTGTCAACTGGTACCTGAAGAGGGAGATAAGAAAATAAAAACACAACAGAAATTAAGCTGTTATTCAACAGAATTATTCTTAAACTCAGTATTCTTGGGTAATTATTAGGTTAGACTCCAACAGTATATATAGTTAATTAGCTCAATTAAGCAATTATATAAAACCCTATTTTCCCTTCTTTTTGTAATAAAAAAAAGATACCAAACATAGTATAGTATTTCTTAGTATAACTCTAAAGTATATATTTACTGCATGTAAGTATTTGTCACATGAAGATTAACTTCCCATTTTTTTCTCCATTACATTTAACCACAGTAGAATCGTGATCAAGGTTCAAAGTGATATTGAACATTATTAACACAGGCAGGTCTCAATCATGCATGGCAACATCAGGCCAAGGACTGCAGCTTTTCTTACACCCTGGCTGAGAGGAATGAAGCTGTGTGTCGATCTAGTCTAATTAACGAGGTGATGATGGGAAGCAGATGAGTCATGCACAGCCCGGAGAGAGCCCCAGCTCAGCTGGGAAACCCACAGGATGTCACACTGAGCATGTCACACGCAGCTGCACAGGTTTCAGGGTCAAGTCAGCCCAGACAGCAGCAGCTCGGAAGTTCCTGAACCTCATACAGACATTAACAGCGTGCAGTTAGTCACACATGATCAAAAGCTGCTGGACATGCAAGACACCCACACAAAAAGAAGCATGGCAGAGGATCTTGCAATGTCTGACTCCAAAGAGCTGTCTCATATCTTGAACCAAACAATCAAAAACTTCTAGCACTGAAAAAAATTTTCCACTGAAAGTTTTATTTCTACTAGTAACTATAGTAGTTTGGAAAAGCTGCTGAAACATGGAACCTTATGATCATCAGAAAATGCTATGTTTTCTCTTCATTTAAATTGAGAGTGTCAGCAGAAGAACAAATCCAGCTCTTTATGTAGCACTGTATTAAAATTCCAGCATGGTTTCTGTTTATCAGACACTGACTCTATCTGAAGGGACTGCAGATATTTTAAATAAAATACATAGTCTATAGGATGGCCTCATAACCCAATAAATAAAAAGGCTTCACAATTTACAGTGCTACCCTGCTATTATGAAAAAGCAAGATTCAAGCAATAAAATAATATTATTAGCCACTTAAAATTCAAATATTCAAAAAATTCAAAATTTCAAAGCAAATCTGAGAGCAGAAGTTTTTTAGGTTTTTTTCATGGGAGTTAAAGAGAAAATCAGATATGTGAGGGCAGCATCCCATGTGGCTCTGTTGTTCAAAACCAGCATGGAATCAGTCATAAGATTTTGTCAATTACTCTTTTACAGCTAATATTGTTATGCCAGTAGAAGTCAAGCATTCAAGTAGGTAACACAGTCATGGCAAAAGAGTCACCACTTACAGCTTTAACGTCCAAGTTCATAATCCCTGAATTCACGTTGTGTCTTCGCAAATCTGATTTTATTAAGGCTGAAAAAAAAAGAAAAAAAAGGAAAGCTGGTTCACACTTTTGCAGTGACATGCACTTCAAGGGAAATGTTTGTATGGTGAAAGCACACAGAAGCTGCTTTCATCACATTTTCAAAATACCCGTATTTGCTCTTTGCGATTTGAACTTACTGACAATTTGAGCTTGCTCCACACAAAGCAGGAAATGACAATAAAATCTTTTAAACCACAAGAACTTAAAGAAAAGCTTGATAGTTTCAGCACTTCCAGCACATATCTGAGTCAACATGTGTAAACACTGGCACAGTTCCAGAGTTGCATCAGCAATTTCCTGCATTTGGAAAACTGCAAACTGCCTCCATTTATGCATTTGTTTCCATTTCTCAGCCCACTTTGCAGATGGATATCTGCCTCAAATTCAAATGTGTCTCAAGAAATGGGGGTCAGATGGTTGTCCATATATCAGCAACACCATCCTAAACACATATACATTTTTACATTTAAGAGAAACCATTACCTGTACTTGTAATTACCTGTTAAAATAATGCCCACAAAAATCCAAGCACAAAGAAAGATGTTTCCTGCACGAGGACTGTAGTCTGTTGTGAGCTTTCCTTGAACAAGTGTAAAGACAATTCCAAATATCTATAAACAAACAAGTAACTTCATCAGGATCACACAGAAAAGAGTCATCATTTTACCTTCAAAAGTTCCAGGTCACATCTTATAGAAATCAAATTTAGAAAAAAACATAGGATTTTTCCACAGGACCATAGTAACAAAACAGAGACTTAGCTAAGTCTAAGAAAGCCCTCCTAGGCTCAAGTATGGTAGCCTTCCTGAACATTAGTTCACTTGAAGAAATAAAATGCTGTAACCTGTGCTGATGCATTAAGGAGACCTGAGGAAGTGCCTTCAGACTCTGGATATGTAATTTCCACAGCAAATTCAAACCCAAGTGGAAGATAGCCAGTCATGAAGAACCTGTTGAAGAGGAGAGTAAGAGGATGACAGGTGTGGCCTTCATCAGTTACTACAGCTAAGAAAACCTAACATACACACATGGTATTATGAATTAGCTGGTATTCCAAACAGTCATGTGTTCATGACTTAACATAATTCAATAATTCCAAATAATAGTGACTGCTTCATTCCTTCAATATGATCCAAGAATTTTAGCCACACATCTTTCTCTTTAGGACAAAGCTGTTAAAACATCTTTGTCCTACTTCCCATAACCACCATACATATGAAACAACCTTTTCTAACGAGTCCACAAGCCACTCCACACTTGAAGCCAATTAGTTTCAAATTAAAGACACACACAAACATCACCACTTGATCAGCCCAAATATGCATGCTGGAGGACAAAAAGAGACCATGAATAGGGAGTGAAGCTGTACACTGGAACACCTGCTGGAAGCTGCTATGGAAGAAGCTGAGGGGACCGATGAATAATGGGAAGAGAAGGGGCTTAATGCAGCTGAGGTTGGTTGATTGGTTTTTAAACTGAAACTCTCAAGACACTTCTGGTTTTATCTTGACTTCTGTGTCTGAATACAGCAACATTCCCTCAGCACCTCCTGAGGCTTTTAGATCGGGTATCTATGAGCACAGCAAACAAAGCAACCAGCATGTGGCTTGGGCTATCAAAGTATAGATTAATGAAAATGCAGAGAAGCCAGTCCTCCTAAATCTGCTCAGTTAAACTCTAATCACCTACACACTGGTCAAGAGAAAGCTTCAACTTCCCTGCAGACAGCTTTCTGAATTTGGAACCAAACAAATGGATCACATAGAGAACTCTCTTAGGTCCATAAAAAGGATAAACAATATTTACTGAAAAGTGAGTTACTTAAGATTTTTTCTGATGTAACAGAAGGTGAAACCCATCTGTACTGTGAGCTAAAGGCATAGGCTGAGATCATGGTGACAGAATACACAGCAGAATTATCCAGGTAAAACATTTAAATATGTTTCAGAACAGAACTGCAGTAAGTCCCGTAGCGCTCTATACTTGCTCACCCAAGCACTCCTCCAGTCACAAACACTACTATAAGGTATCCGAGGTCCAGGGTGAAGGTAAATACCAGCAACCCAATGAAGGAGAGAATGTAAACAATCAAAGTAGTTTGCCTGCAACCCAACAACAACAACAACAAATTAACATTGTTAATGGAAGGCCATCGCACATTGCTGAAGCATGGAGGGATAACGTGAACATTACATAAGCCGTTCTAAAGCTATAAAATTTGCTTCATGTAATTCTGCCTCAAACTTAGCATGCAGTGAGCACATATCCCTTCCTGAACTCTTCACTGTCTTGGTTATCTGGCTGCCTCACTCAAGGCTCAGAACACTTACTCAGACTCTCAAAGAATGGACAATCATAGCACATACTACTTCCTTAAGACAATTTTAGTTCTCTGCTATGTTGTACCTCTTGGCCATTCTGCAGTGCTGCCCATTACACAGTACATCAACACAGGAGCAGCTGGGTCCAACACTATTAGCAATAAAAGTCAGCCTACCAAGAGGCAAGCCAAACAAATCTCATTACAGTGTTCTATTTATTTTGAATCTGAAAGAAGGGATGTCTTCCAAATTCTTAAAGCACATATTTATAAGGCAAAACACATGCAGAAACAAATCCAATCTACAGCATTAACATCCATTAGGCTTGTAGAGGCACATAATGGACTAAGAGTCACAGGGGAGAGCTACTCCATCACAAACAGTGCTCCAGGGCAGTGCTCATTCCTGGGGTCATCACACCATGGATGATGGACCCAGGAGTTCCTACCCCAGAACACAGAACTCTGCTCCGTGGTCATCCTCTGAATTAAAGCAAATGTTACACTTACTAATAGGATCAGGAATAGCATAAAAAAATTGAAAATCCAACAACTGGCCATTTTACGAAGCAATGCAGGGTAGGCTTTGAGACTTTATGAAGAATCTCACTGGGCCACCTGGCCACTTTCCTTATTAGTCTTATACTCCTGAAGAGACCGGAGTAGATGGAAAAACCTCTTGCATATTTGCATTCTGCTCTTTCATTTTAACTTCTTTTGACCAATAGCCAGTAAGAGTCTCCAGCTTTTGCTGTAGCCTCAGAAACTTTTCTCCACGAAGGCCACTAAAAGATCAGGGACAAACTGCATTTCATCAGCAGTTCATTTCAGCCCTTACATTGGAGCATTTTCCTAATGCAATTGCACCACTCTCCTACCCCTAACCCCATTCATGCCTACCCACACTTACTTGTAAGTTTTAGTGTAATCCAGCCACAAACCACAAATAATCGAACCCACCATTCCTGCCACCACCAGTGTCAAGCCAATTCTCCCAGCGTTCACTTCTTCTCCCTTTCAACAAATATTTATATGGTGCTCATTAATAACTTGCTTCCACTCAGAGTCAAGTTCAGACCTCTTGGCAGTCATAAGTGCAAACAAACATTCCTATGACTCCCACAGCTGTATGGTACAAGAAATACAGAGGTATAAGAGAAACCAAATGTCTGAGCACACATAGCACCTACAAAATAAATATCACCTCTGCAAATCCACAGTGAAAAAGAGACAGATAAGATCCAAGAAACTTACCTCATAATGAGTTACTATCATCTGGTTTAATAAGGTGGAGACAGAATAAAATGCCCCAGTCATAATACCTGCAGTATCAAGAAAAAAGTTTCAATCATTCCAGGTGCAGCCATGCAGATTTGTTACCCTAAAGAATTAATCTTCTGACACAAAACCTTTTATGTGCCAGCTAAAATCTCTACACTGGACCTGTAAGTGGTATTTTGGATCTTTACAGATTTGCCAGCACTGGCACCTGAATAAATAAAAGTTTGACACTCCCTCTTCCATTAAAAAAAACTCCTTCACAATTAAAATTCTATGTGCTTCTGGCCCACATTTGAACCTTTCTGCCAGACTGCAAACAGATAACACCACTTACCATAACTGATTAGCAAAAGTATAAATGGAATATTTTTGAACAAGTTAATAATGGACTGCTTGTAGGAGTAATCCTCAGGAGGTTTAGTTTGCAGGATTGCTTGAGAGTGACTGGGAGGGTATTTGGGCTTTTCTTCAAACACTGGGGAAAAAGAAGAAGGAACAATTTTTGATTCATCTCTACCAAACTAATGTGCCTTTTTTTTTTTGTTTTGGAAGTGTTTCAGCTTGATGAATTTCAGAAGACTGGCTTGTAGTTTTAACAACTCCATGAAAAAAATTTCTAAATTTTCTCACTGAAGAACTAAGTCACATCCACAAAGGATGTGTTATTTGGTCACATCTGATTGCTACCAAAATATGCTCAAAGACAGACTTCACCTGCAATACGTCAAGACCTTTGTGTATAAATTGTGAGGTTAACAGAATGAATTCACATTATATCATAAGTCTTCGCAGCAAAGACACTAAGAGAACTAAATATTCTGGAAGACATCACCCCATGTGAAGCACGACATACAGTGAAATGTTTATTGCTTAACCCTGGCACAACAGGTCAGTGAACACAAACTGCAGAAACTGTAACCTCAGCATACTTTGAGCAGTCAGCTGCTTTAAGTGAGACACTGTCAACACTCCCTATAGCCAGCATATAAATTCCAGTAATTTAAACACTTACCAACTCCTGTTAAGAAGAACAAAAGCGTGGACACGATGGCTGTTCCATAGAACATGATGCCGATGTTATGTGCCATAAGATCAATATCATTCGGTGTATTTGGGACCAAAACAGGTGGCAACAAAAAGCCAATTGCAGTACCAAGCTGTAAAGCAAGAAGACAAAACCAAAAATGATTTCCCTCTGAACACAAAAATTAACAGAAGTGAAAAGCCTTACCAGGCAGAATTCAGAATTGTTATCAAAAGAAGCTTACTTTTTTGTGATACTTTAGTATCACACTTCTGAACCACTTGCTTTCAGTGTTGTTTTACAACCAGATCTTCCATAACTCAGGTTTTAACCTTTAAATTTCTCAACTGAACTACGATGCCACACTTAGTGTATATATTTACACTACAAACAGCACTTGTACAAGAATCTTTGTACTTATACAAGAATCTTTCACAGGAAAGTGAAAGTACCAGGCATGAACATAAATTTGTATCAGTCATCCTGCAACTTAAGGGCTAGAGATGATGCAAGATTCCAGCTACTCTTGTAGAAGTGCTCTTCATTCGATGTCACGCTCCTGCCACTACAGTAGCAAAGCCTGACTGCAAGGTTTACTGTAGAACAGAGCAGAGAAAAGCAAGAGAAATGGAATATCCTTATTAAGACCAAACCCAACGATTATTGCCAAGGAAATAAATAAAAATCACAGAGTGAAGTAATAGTGGGTTTGTGTGTGGAATAAATTCCAACAGAACCACTGCTTTTGCATTAATAGAGACATAAAACAGGGACTGAATTTTTGTGTATATAAATAAAGCATTTGAAAACATGAAGGAACAAGTCCTGGACTGTTCTCCAGTTTATCTCTTCTCCTCCCCCATAACTAAATGGCATTTTAAAGTGTTGGAACATTTATTTTACATAAATTCAAAAAGAGCACCGAAGACTTAGAGTAGCAAGTCCAGCAATCAGAAAGCTTCACATTAGAGGTGTGCCACTTAGTTTACAAAGTATCCTTTGTGCACACCCTGATGAGGGTTTTGATACCTTTTTTTTCCCCCCCCCAGGCTATCAGATTGACACAGTATCCAGTAGTCACAGGGAGAATTTGTCTCCTTTTCTCCTCACTCTTCAGTATATGAGCACGACAAACATGAACTGAGCACACAGTTAATTTGTTTCTTTAGATATATTTTTTCCTCCCCCAATAGGAGCCAATACAGTACCCACAATGTTCCAACAAAGTCGAGTTTCCATTTTCCATCGTTTACACCTAGAGAGGTTAAGGCCAGAAGAAGTGTTCCAATGACTTTGGCGAGACTCATTTAAGGTGCTAAATACTCGTGGAGATGGGGCATTCCTAACAACCCTTGACGGGGCTGACATCGCTGCACTCCCAGTGATTTGTGTCCCAGTTGCAAACGATCAGCATCTCCAAGAAGTGAGATAATTGTTGACAACTGCTCTGCTCCTGCCCTGCCTGCGGTCCCGGCCGTGTTTGTAGCTCTGAAGTTCCACACAGTATCTGAGAAGCGATCGGATGAGCAATAGCCGAGTGGCTTTTAGCCACCTGTTCTGTCACACAGCTCACCTTGTGCAATTACCCAGCGCAGTGATTCCAACGGGAATGCCTATGCAGAAGGGAACTGCAATGGGATACACAGACATCGCTTCTCATTTCCAAGTGCCGAACTCCTTATCTTGACACTCTTTCAATCTAGCTTTCGAGAGTTTTTAGGGGTTTTTAAAGGAAGCAAACCGGAGGAAAGAGAAACTCTGTTGTTCTATTGACAGAGTACCTGGAAGCACTTCAGCAGGCACACTGGGATCGGCCCTAGCTGCTGGCGGGAGCACACTCCAGAAACAGCCGCGGCTTATTTTGTTCATATCCTGATCCTGTTTCCCATCTTTCCCGTGGTTCCCATCCACACAAGCCCTGCTCTCCCGCTCCTGTCCTGCAGCCCCACATCTCAGCATTGCAAGTGAAGCACCGGTTTCAGGCTCCGAGCTGCATGCTTGACACTACCGCAGAAGTGAAAACCCCCGAACTCCTTCCTGCTGGAAGGACCGGTGCATGGCAGAAGAGTGGAACTCCAGCTGCCAAAGAAACCTGCAACCTGATACCAGGATGCAGATCCAAAATTTTTGCCTCACCGCTGAAACAGCCAACATTTTCTGAAATCTTCAGTCCAAAAGGGACAGTTGACTTGTCCACTCGAAGACTTCGATGTGAAAAAAAAATATTTTGGAAAAACTGTGAACAGCCAAGTATCAGTTAATGAGGAATCAGCTAGGTTAACACCCTAATTGTAAACATGTAACATTAATGTCACTGCTGTCATAATCCAAAGTGCACAAACATAAAATCATCAGACTCACATGACAAAAAATAAATTCCCCATTACCTTGACCAAACTCCACCTATGACCTCAGCCTGCACCAGTGATACTGACTTGTATCTTAGCAATTTCTTTTGCCACAGGAGAAAAAAAAAAAATAATAAAAAAGCTGTGACAGTGGCAGGAGGTAAGAATAAGGCTATGGGAGGAAAAAGTGTCATACCTGCACCTGCGCTTTCAGATGCACCTGTTCCAGCTCTCTGGAACTAGCCAGTACCAGGGAGCTTGAGGAAATCCGTGACTCAGTTACCATCACAGTGATGTGAACTATGGCAGCGTTAGACAAAACTTCACGAGTCACCAGAGTATTGACTACTGGCACCTGGCAATTAGAGGCCACATTTTAAAAAGCAGAAACCAATATATGTTGTTGTTGTTGGGGTTCTTCATGAAAGTTCCCGTAGTTCACACCCCCTCCAGCCGGGGGTGGATTCAGTCAAATGAATCCAAGTGCCAAAATGCCAGAGGAAGAGGAGGAGGACACATCTGAAAAGGGTCTCGACTGATGTAGTGCCGACAGCTGATGGCAGCGTGTGAGCTGCCGCACGCTGCCACATGGCCCGGCTCCTGCACGGCCAGGCTGGCCGGGCAGCGCGGCACGCAGCATCCATCACCTAAAGCTCGGCCCCTCTTCCTCACCTGTCCGCTCTCCCAAAACCATATCCTGGAGAAAGCCTCTTCCCACTTAAACACCTTGTTTTTAACTCGATGCCGAGCTCCAAGGAAGCCCACTTCTCCGAAGCCCCCCTCTCTCCCCGGCGGCCCTACCTGGTTGCCCAGCACAGCCACGGCGCAGGCGGTGGAGACCTCGGTGGGGCCGAACCAGACGGAGGCGATGCGGGAGGGCAGCCCCAGGATGAAGACCTGGGCGACGGCGCAGACGGCCTGAGCGGCCAGGGTGAGGGGGTAGCGCTGTGGGGCCAGGCTGCCGCACTTGAGCCAGGCGCCCAGCGCGTTCAGCCCCGCGCCCAGCAGCGCCGTGAGGCGCAGCCCGCGGGCATCCAGCAGCCAGGTGGCCGGCAGGATCAGCGGCACGTAGGCCACCATGTACACCATGGACAGCCAGTCGATCTGCGTGAAGGAGACGCCGTAGAAGCCGGAGAAGACGTTGCTGAGGATGCTGTACTGGATCCACTGGAAGGCGTTCACCAGGGAGTAGCAGCTGAAAACAGCCAGCACCGCCA